CATTCTCTTGTTGCCTTCTTGCATTTATGTTTGCATTTCATGAATGCATCTCTTATTGCATTGACTTGTTTAAGTCACTTTCATCTCTCATTTTCTTTTCATATGTGATTGAATTACTAAGTGTTTACTTGGTCTTTTGCCATGATCCCTTAAGATTCCTAGTCCATCTATTTAAGATGGGAGTAGGAGAGACATTAGGTGTTCAATCCTTTGCATGATAACATTAGGATAGATTTCCCCTTTCAATCCCGACTTTAGGATCATTTTGCATGATAACATTAGGGTTGATCTAGTTTCCCCTTAGAGTTTGTGTCTTCTCTTTTCATCTCCTAACTTTTATAAGACACTTAATAAAGGATAATAAATGTTGTACACTATGAGCCTTAAGTACTTGAGGAATGATAGTTGGGGGACCTCCTCTCATACTGTCTAGAGTGTTTAGCGTATTCCCTTTGGGCGACATGCAACGCAATCGCTCTCAAATCATAGTCTTTAGTGCAACATGAGTTACAAACTTAACTCAATTCACTTCTTGTTTAAAAAACACAAAACAAAACTTCAAACCTTTTTATCCTTCAGGATTGTTCGAAAATCATTTTCAGAAAGAGTGTGTTAAGTCTTGGTTCTACCGCAAACAGGCATCGTCCCTAACTGCTAGAACGAAGGTTTAACCCTACTCAGTTAAAACACTTAACCAATCTACGATCGTGTTAGCCCGAACTATGTTTTCTCTGATTTCTCATACCAGATGAAGATACGTAGGCACAAGACAGCGATGTCTTGGCGAGCAACCTTCCCCCTTTCACCCGTAGTTTTCCGAACTACATTGACTCTGACTTTCCCATTGCACGAGGGAATAGGTAGGCATAGAGCGGCGATGCTCTGTCGAGTCTCTTTTCTTTTCTTTTGTCCTTGTGAGCCAACCTTTTGATAGATTAACACCCTTTTAGGTAGACAACAAGCGTGGATCCCGTTGAGTACAACAGACGTGAGGGGTGCTCATACCTTCCCCTTGCGTAACCGACTCCCGAACCCAAGATTTGGTTGCGATTTGGATTAAATTTGAAACTTGAAAATTTTTTGACTTGAAATGAAATTTGAATGGAATTGAATATGAATTGGAAATTGGAAAGAAACTTGAATGGGATAGAATTTTGAAAATTGAAATGGAATTGAGTTGGATGAAATTGGAACTGAAACTTGAATTGGATTGAAATTTAAAGTGGAACTGAATTCGAATCTTGAATTTGTGATTATGAACTTGAACTTGGATCATGTATTTGGAAAGGCATGGAATTTAAAAATCTTGAATCAATTTCGTAAGAAATTAAACCCCACATCCTGATTCTATATTGCAACAGTTTTGAATTGAAAGCTTGAATCCTGCTAAGCAAAGAGCATGAACCACATAATCAGGGCTTGTGAATGACTTGATATACTGACCAAATGTCTTGACCTTCGATGGCTCTGTGACTTGGCCTTATCCGATAAACCTTGATCTGACACAAAACCCTAATTCTGATCACTTAAACACATGTACTTGAATTCAATCCACACTGGCCTACAAAATAGCCAATGACACAGATGACTTAAGATATTGACTGCACTGTCACTGTACCAAAAACCTAATTGAAATTCAGCTAGCCCTGATGATTATCCACCTTGAAACAAACTGTCTTTGCCATAGTCCGATAACTTGATAATGGAACTTGCTAGCCTCGAATGAAACTCAATTGAACTGCACTTTTTCACAAAGACTGAGAAGCCCTAATCTCAGCCTTGAATACACACTGATGAAACAATGACTTGCGGAGAACCAAATCCCCGATTCAGAGTCTTTGCCACAACCTGATAGCCTGATATTGAAGCAAATCATTCGTTTGACCAATATTATGTCAAACTTCCACTGAATTTCAACCAAGACTACACACGTACTTGACTTGATAATTTTGCCTGATCCTTGATTCAATCTTGCAAAACTTGAGCTTATGCAATAAGTAAAAGACACATATTTTCGGAGGCATACTGGTTAGATGACCTGAATGATGGATATGATGCACAGATGATGAAAGTGTAATGATATGTATGATTGACGATTCAGGGTCAAAATTAGGATGTAACAGCATGTATAAATTTTTTGTAGGGATCAAAATATGTCTTTTTTTATAAAAACTAAAACTGAAGTTTGCGATATTTGTAGAGATAAAAACATATTTAACCATTTTTTTATATGTTTAGAGGTTTATTAAAAAAAACTTTGTTAATGGTGATTTTGAATAAGGTTGAGGATGGCGAGTTAAAAAAACTTTGTTAATGTTGATTTTAATAAGGTAGAGGTTTATTATAAAAAAATATTTCATTCATGGTTTTGTTTAATAGATTTTTGATGAACGAAATGTAGGTTGTGATTCTACAGGTTATGAATAAATTGGTGGGTATTGTTTGGATGATTTTAGATTATGATTTTGATTTTAAAACAGGTTTATGTTATTAGTTGAAAAGGATTTATGATATTGGTTAAAGAAAATAGATTTTATGATATTTGTGTAAAGATTTATTTTCTACAAACATAAAAATACAAAGTATATTAACATGTGTGGCTTTTACCTATTTTAATTTTGTTTGTTTATTTACAGGGAACTAGATCACAAGCAAAGTACACAACAAAAATTCAGAGAGTAAAAAAGAGCAAAAGAGATACTAACGTGAAAGTTATTGAGGAAAGAATCCTCAAAGGTAGATTTCGTCCTTCTCTCTCCTCTCTGCTCTTACTTCTTTCGGTGATGATTGAACTTCTTTTTTTTTTTTAATTCTGGTTTTAGAAGTTTGTGGAATTTGGTGTGATGTTTTTGTTAAAAAGTTGCAGGTTTTATTTTTTAATGTGGTGTGAAGGTGTACAATGTAACAACAATTGCAAAATTCAGAAAATAATAATTGAATTAAGTGGTTAATTGGTGATTAACATTTTAAACGGAAGTTGGTAATGACAATGTAATTTTTCAGATGGCAATACAAGTTTTGTCAAAAATAAAGGATGTGGGTATGAGATATATATTTTTTAAATACTAGAATAGATATGGTAAAAAAAACTCATAAACTATATATCTATCTAGTATATATCTATCTAGTAATAAATCTGTGTCGATGTATCGAGTACGTTTTTGGATGAAATATGATTTTGAACGCATATTTATTTGTATTATAAAAGTTAGAAGTTTGAAAAAAAATATATAAATAATAATAAATTTAAATTGAAATTGAAAAAATAATAAATATAGAAGTGAAAGGTAAACAATAAAAAGATAATAAATGTAAATGTGAAAGGGAAACAATAATATAAAAAATAATAAGGTTAAAAATAAAAATTATATTGTGAAGCAGTATTTCCTTATGATTTGTACAACCACTACTAGAAATCATTATTCATTTTTTCTTGTGGAGTTAATCCTTATGATTCACTCAGATAGAATAACTACCACTAAGCCTTCGCAGAACCATTCCATCTTAACTCTGCATTATTCATTTTAACTCTGCATTATCCATGAAAATCTCAAAATTCTCTGGAAATTTCGCAGTAAATGCTGTGAGTTTTGCTGCGGAATTTGCTGGGAACTTTACTGTGATATTTGCTGCGGATATTTTACTAGTTTTTTTTTTAATTTTTGTTTTTATATTTGTTATATTTTTACTCTTAATAAATGAAATTATAAAATATAATTTACATATGGATTCCAAAAATATTTTTTTGAGACATTTTTTAATTTTATATTAAATCTTATATTTTTAAAAAATGTTTTTTGCTATATTAATTGGGTTTTTTAGTTATTTTTTATAGAAAATTTATTTATTTAATAATTTTTTTTATTGTTGCTAAAATTAAAAAAATTAAAATTTTTTAAGCGTGGAGTATGATTATGTATGTAATTCTTCAATGTATACATTTTTAAGACTACGGAAAAAGACTGAAAGTTTCATTTGCTGCACTCACGAATTCACTAAGACACGATAAATCATTAGTGATTATAAAATAATAATTATAAATTTAGATTAAAAAATACACATTCGTCACTAGAAAAATATTTAAAATTAATTTTATTTTTAACACTGTCAACCTAAAAATGAGAATAACTATAACTTGCTCAAGTTGTTTTTTCAATAGATAAAAAGATACATTTTATATTTGTTAATTAGTTGTATTTAATATTTTTTAGAATTTTAAATCAAAATTAAAAATAATTAAAACATACTAATTCAATTTAATATAAAAGTATTGATAGAACAAGATTTAAGATAAATAAAAAGATTTAGTTTTATCAACTGAGACAAATTTTATTTACCATAAAAAAAAAAGTTTAATCTTCACTAAAGTAAAATAATTACATTTTTCTTAATATTGTTCACATAAAATGATATCAATTATAATTCAAATTTTTTTGTCTGACTTTTTTTTATTTGATTATATAATTAAAAAATAATATTTTAAAATTCAACAAATAAATAATTCTTTTTAGGGAGGTGTAGTTAAAAAATATAAAAAAATATAAAATTCTAAATAAAAAAGTAAAAAAAAAATCGATAGGGTAGTGATTCAAGTGTGAACCTCTAAATAATAAAAATTACTATTACTAAGTATTGATATAGTTGAGATTAAACTCTAAAACTTCTAAATAATAATAGGTAGTAATTAGGTCCGAGATACCACTCAACCAACATGTTTTATTAAAAAAATAATTGAGATGTATATTATATATAATAAATTTAATTCTTTACTAAAATAAAAATTGATAATATTATTCTCTCTTTGATAATATTATTCCTCTCAATCTCAAAGAGAGAGAGCGCCTTTGCAACTCTCTTTTGTTTTTTCTCTCAAAAAGCACAAAACTCAACCCCTTAACCTAACAAACATTTAGAGTTCGCTCAAAACAAAATCCTCATAACAAAGAAATTGGGGAATGACTCGAGCATCTTGGAGTTGACAAAGCCTCTCCCGTTACACCATGATCAGTCTTCTTCACAATGATCTAAACTCTCGCAATTGCAACCACCAATCAAATCTCCGAACCTTAGCTTGTATTTTTTCCCCATTCAACTCAGGTAAATTAATCTCTTTGATCTTTTTTTATTTCTATATATATTATCGAGCTTATGTGATTGTACTGATTTTAAGTTAGATTGATTATAAACTTAGGTGATTTTTGTAAACAAAGTGTTTGTTGAAATGCCACAGTGAATTTACTTATGTTGATTTTGCTTTTTGTTTTTGTTTTGTAAGTTATCTTGTTTCAGTTGATTCCTATATGAACTTGCAGGTACAATTCTAGATACGCTCATTGGTGTCAATTCTTTTTTATTGGTACTTCTTTGGCTTTATTGCTATAACTATGACAAAATGCTTCTTAAGAAATTAATCACAACTTATTATCAGTTTTCAGTGGAAGGTCTAACTCAAATTGATCACAACTTATAGAAATTGACTTATCAAATTTCATGTTGCTTGTGTTTAATTAGTATATGTATGTATTGGAATGGAAGATTTCTACAGTTTGGTATACACAAAAGTGATATGAAAAAACTTTAAGAATAGTTACGCTTCCATGTTAGTGACAGTGTCATACATTGCCTCTTATAATTATTTCAGCGATGTTCTTATTGAACTTTTGTCGTACATCTTTCATACAAAGTGCCGTATCTAAAATGGAATTATGATCAGTACTGGTTCTTCAGTGTAAAGGTTAAAAAAACGCGGTAAGGTAACATTTTCAATGGACACATTATTTGAACTTAAACAATGATGATGACAAAAATTGATCTTTGCCAACAAAGTTTACAATGACAAAATGCTGCTGCTGGCTGAGAATTTTAACATACACTGAATTTTCTAAAGGACCTTATAAACTGCAACAAAATGTGAAGCATTACACAGTGAGACACTGTCCTAAATATACTTGTTCTTGGTTGCAGAAAAAGACTCCTTATGGGGTTGTGCCCACCATTATGTGAGTAACTAGTTCTCTTTTAATTAATTATATGCTTCCTCACTGCCTGTTGATTCTGATTGCAAGTATATGGAGATGAGCAAGTGTGCTATCTGCTGTATGTTTTGGACATTAGCCTTGTAGCATTGGCTCTGTTGTATCTTCCACATAAACAAAAAATATTTAGTTCATTTTCTTCATCCTTGAGTTAAGAAAACTAAATTTAAAAAAAAAATAGAGATGGAGGAAGGAAATCAAAACATATAAAGAAGTTAATACCTATTTTTTTTCTTTGTATCTCCAGATCTATTTACATCATGATAAAAGAAAAGGAAAAATATATTAAAAATTGTTGAAAAAGAGAAAGAAAAAAAGATAAAGATTTTGAAAGAAAAAAATATGAATATATTTGTTATTTGACCCATCTTTGAGATTTGTTACATGCATAAGAACATATTTGTTACTTGACCCATCTCTGAGATTTGTTACTTGAATGCATAAGAACAAATATGTTACTTAGCCCATCTATGAGATTTGTAAAACTTGATGTATAATCTTGTCACCTATTGTAAATCAAAAAAAGAAAACTGTAATAACAATTTATGAGTATGGAGGAAGATTCCTCATATGAACAAATAAAAAAATAGAACATGTTAGTCAAAAAAAAGTAAATATGCCTTACAGTAGATGATAAAAGGCTTGGAAGAAGAAGCTGGTGATGGAACAGATTCCTAATCGAAAATAAATTCTAGAAGAATGAAGAGGTGTGTGAGAGAGAAGGAAGACAATGGAAATGATGTGAGAAAAAGAAGTGAGAGACCTGTAAGAAGTTGAAGAGAGAGAGAGAGATGCTGAAAAAGATTTAAAAAGAGAGAGAGAGAGAGAGAGAGAGAGAGAGAGAGAGAGAGAGAGAGAGAGAGAGAGAGAGAGAGAGAGAGAGATCTGAAAAAGAGTTGAGAAGAAGAAGTGAATGACTAGTGTGATCTATTGGTAGATTTTTTTTGAAAAAAGCTGTTGGAAGTAAATAGTAGTACATAAAGTTATAAAGTTATAAAGTTGGATTTCAATTGTTGGATTTTTGGTTCAACTACAAAACAACAAAACTGGTATATATAGAACAAAAAGATACATAATATTGTTGGAATTAATTTAATAATAATTATACAAACATGCTCAATAACAAAAATTAAAACTATAATTTTATTTTAGTGCGGAAATCATATGAGCATATATATATAAACTAGGATCTACAACATGTTAATTTATCAAGGATTGAGATTAGGAATACCTGGATAATCGAATAATTGACATGACAAATTCATACTTTTCTAAAACACAAAGTAAAGAGAGACTAATGACGAACACTCATTGGCTTGTGGTTCTTGACCGGTATTTCTAATGCCTTGAATTCTCTTCAGATGGGGAGAAAAAACAAATTGCGTATATTGGAGACCATAGCCTATATATAATGTGATGGTCAATTAGGATTCCCATCCCCAAATGGGTCATCCTGACATCACTCATATTTGAGTCCACATCTAATTAATTAATTACTAAATAGAAATCTAAGTATCCTTTTAAATTTATTTGATCACTTAATCATTAAGGCTCTTAATTTTTGATAAATAGATAATATAATTAAAATATATATGCCCACATAATTATTGGAATATAATAATTAAATAATATTAATATTATAAAACATTCCAACAATTTTTTCAACTTTATATATATATATATATATATATATATATATATATATATATATATATATATATATATATATATATATATATATATATATATATATATATATATATATATATATATATATATATATATATATATATATATAAATCTTTTGTGTTAACCGGATGATACCTTGAGAATAATCTCTAAGTATCTAAATACTTAATACAAAAGAAATGTGTCTAAGCTCTTTCATCGCCAAACTTTTGTTAGAGATTTTTTGGTTTCACACAATAATCATATATCATTTCTGACTAAATAAAATAAAATCGATACATTAAACTAGGAACATAAATTTACTCCCACTGAACTTGTAAAACCCAATAATCACTACGCCCAAAATGAAATTTGACAGCGCAGCAAAGACAAGGCTTTTATTAAAAGCACTGTTAAAAGATTTATAAAAAAAAAAGAAGAAAAAATTACAGGCTTTAGAAAACGTTTACTAAAAAGCGCTGCTAAAGGTTGTTATTTTGTAATACTATAGAAAGCGCTTTCATGAAAGCTCTTTCTAAAAGCGCTGTTATATGGGGGATACGAAACGCTTTCTAAAAGCGCTGTTATAGGGGGATATGAAAGCGCTTTCTAAAAGTGCTGCTATAGAGGGGATACGATAGCGCTTTTAAGAAAGCGCTGCTAAAGGTCCTTCCCTAGGCGGACTTTAGAAAGCACTTTCTAAAAGCGCTGCTAAAGGTGGGATTTACACTACGCCAGAATTGATTTTTAGCAGCGCACAAAAGACAGCGCTTTTAAAAAAAGCGCTGCTAAATAGTCAGTAAAAAAAAAAAGAAAAAAGTTACCTACCAAAGACAGCGCTTTTTTAAAAAGCGCTGCTAAAAGGGGACCCTTAGAAAGCGTTTTTTAAAAGCGCTGCTAAAAGGGGACCCTACGAGAGTGCTTTTTTTTATAAAGCGCTGCTATATGTTATTGCTAATGCACCCTATGAAAGCGCTTTTAAAAGTGCTGCTAAAGGCCTTTAAAAAGCGCTGCTAAAGGTATTAGTATAATAATTTTTATATACCCTCCAGAATTGTAAACGAAACAGAACACGCGTTTTTTTGTTTTCTTCTTCGTTTCTTCATTTCTCCATTGCCCTATCTTCCATTTTCGCCCTCCGTTGAAGCTTTCGTCGCCGTCCGTTTGCGCCGCCGTCTTCCATTTGTTTTCGCCGCCGTTCGCTGTTCCCTTTCGCCGCCGTTCACCGTTCGTTCTCCTCCACCGTTACGGTAAATCCGCAACTGTTACGGCATTTTTATGGATTATTGTCTTAGTATTGCATTTTTCTGGATTAGATGATGTTAGTGCTACTTCTTTCTGAGTTATTGACTTGTTTTTGTTGATACCATTGATGAGCATTACTCTTTTGATATTGGCTTGATTTTTATATGCAAGGTGTTTGTTGAAATGCCACAATGAATTTTGAGCATTATAAATTAGTTTAGAATAATTTAGTCCATTTCCACCATTTTTGAGAGTATGATTTAATAGTTTAGAATAGTTTAAAATCATATTAATGAAATAGTTTAGAATAGTTTAGAATAATTTAGTCCATTTCCACCATTTATGAGAGTATGCTTTAATTTAGTCCATGTCATTTTGAGCATTATAAAATAGTTTAGAATAGTTTAAAATCATATTAATGAAAGTATGCTTTAATAGTAGAATAGTTTATTATAGTATATCTACTTTTTTTTAATATGATTTGTTTTGTTGGATTATCTAGTTTTTTTGTTTTGGTTAATTATTAATATGATTTTAATAAAATGTATATATTGTCTGTTCTAGGGGTTACCTGAGAAGAGCAAGGTTGTGATTGTTTCCAAGCATCCTACTGTACAACTTTCTTAGAAGTTGTGATTTCTTTATAGGTATTCTCTGTTTTTGCCTAACTTTCATAGTATGGATAAAAATTGGATGTCTGTTAATCGATTGTCAAAAGAGTACGAGAATGGGGTATCGAACTTCGTTAAGTTTGTTATTGAACACGCCAAAGACCCCAGTAGGATCACATGTCCTTGCTTAGGTTGCTGTTATGGACGTCGAATTGACGCGGTTCAGTTGGAATCTCATTTAATGAGACATGGAATTGATCGAAGTTACACATGTTGGACATTACACGGTGAGATAAGTAACGAGAATGTTGAACCCCAGAACAATACGACCTCTACTTCAAAGGACAATGGTAGGGATACATACGATTGTGATCGAGTCGAAGATATTGCAGAAGCACTTGAAGAAGATCTTAAAGATTGTCCAAAGATGTTTGAGAGGTTGGTAAGCGATGCAGAGAAGCCGTTGTATAAAGGTTGCACTACTTTCACAAGATTGTCTGCGGTATTAAAGTTGTACAACTTAAAGGCGGGTAATGGATGGTCGGATAAAAGTTTCACAGAGTTGTTAGCCCTACTTCAAGAGATGCTTCCGGAGGATAATGTTCTTCCCAATCGAACCTATGAAGCTAAAAAAATGTTATGCTCTATTGGTATGAGCTATGATAAGATACATGCTTGTCCAAATGATTGCATTTTGTTTCGAAATGAGTATGCATCATTAAACGAGTGTCCTAAATGCGGTGTATCTCGGTATAAGAAGAAGTTGTCACCAGCAAAAGTCTTATGGTATTTTCCTATAATTCAGAGATTCAGACGCATGTTTCGTAGTGAAACAGATGTGAAACACCTTACTTGGCATGCAGATGATAGAATTATAGATGGGAAGTATCGACATCCGGCAGATTCACCAC